TGATTTATGAGACAAGGTGGCAAATTGCGTACTTTCTCTCCCATTATTTCTCTCATGTTTCTCTGTTTCCAGCCAATCACATAAATTTCTACTGATCTGAAATGACCGCGATCGATGGTACTGAGAGGTATTTGACTAAAGTTTAAATGGATCAAGAAATTAGGAAACTCGTGTGTAAGTGGACACACCCTGGCTGCATTGGAGGGGAGCGTGCCCATGACAAAGAATTGACTGTAAGGAGAAAGAAAGAAACAGAGAGAGAGAGGAAAAGAGAGGAAGAGAGACAGAGAGAGAAAGAGAGAAAGCGGCCAATTGAAAAAAGGCAGATCTATATTGTTTGTCTTTCCAAACTAAAAAAAAAAAAAAAAAAATTTCAGGTAGTGTTGGTGCATGAATGGTATGGCTTGGTGGTTGAGTTGTGGGAAGTTTTCCCACAAGTGTAACTCCAGGATTTGGTCCTAATTAACAAGACCAGGCTTTGTCCGAAACTAAGTAAGTCTCGGATTGAGACTCAGATTAATTCGTCTGACTGTGTCGACCTTGTTCATTATTGAATGAGTTAAAATTTTCCTGAACTAAACCATCGCACGCCCCGTGGACCACATTACTTTTACACACATGATGGATCCCCGGGCAAACCAAACACTATCATTGTTTTTGAAAAAAAAAAAAAAAAAAAAAAAATATATATATATATGTGTGTGTGTGTGTGTGTGTGTGTGTGTGTGTGTGTGTGTGTGTGTGTGTGTGTGTGTGTGTGTGTGTGTGTGTGTGTGTTATATATATATATATATATATATATATATATATATATATATATATATATATATATATAATATACATACACACACACACATTTATATATATAATATATATATATATATAATATATATATATATATACATATATATATATATATATATATATATATATATATATATATATATATATATATATATATATATATATATATATATATATATGTGTGTGTGTGTGTGTGTGTGTGTGTGTGTGTGTGTACTACATACATACATATACAAATATAATATATATATATATTATAATAAATATATATATATATATATATATATATATATATATATATATATATATATATATATATATATATATATATATATATATGTGTGTGTGATATATATTATATATAATATATATATAGATAGATAGATAGATACATAGATACATAGATAGATAGATAAAGGAACTGACCACCCTAACGGATCATCATGCGGTGTAGTAGGCATGCTTTTCTACGAAGATGTGCACCCCCCCCCCTACACACACAATACTAAGAAATAGGATAGGATCAATTATTTATTTCATTACCAAGGGCACTACTGAAAGAAGTAAACCGATATGCATTAATAACGCTTGCATTTGTGGATGTGATTTTCATTTTCACTGGAAGGGGGAATGGTGCGTTATGCATGTAACATTTTTTTTTTTTACTGGCCACCCTTTGAAAAATGATTTTCTGCTCTAGTAGTGCACTATATATTCTTGTATTGTCGATCTACTGCAATACTATACACATAAATTACTTATTGATATTAGCTTAGCATGGACAGGTTCTTAGATTTTCCTTTTCAGTCCGAATGGAATACTGTCGCCTTTTCCGATCCTTTGCTAATGCAATAAACCTTTGGTAGACGCCTGTGTTTTATCCCTCAACCTCGAAGCCAAAAACGATGAGAATGACGTGCGTGATGAAAAAAGCCGTTGGCACATACAGATTAGATCATTAATTGCTGTCGTTTGCAAATAGGATTACATAAATTCTTTGTCATATTAAACTGTGGCTCAACTTGTCTTAAAAGACATAATTACTCACCGAACAGGGAAGTAATTAAGCATAAAAAATCATCAGGATAGCACCGTTAAGTTTTGCCATAATACCCACATTATTTTAGGCATCTAATTAATGCTACTTAAGATTGTATCCAAAATTACCCCTTAAACGAGAACACTCGCACAAATAATGTACAAAGAATAAGTAAAAACGAATAATGCTCACCTTGTATGACCCACTGACCGTCTCCCCATCCCGGGCCTCCGAGCGCGCGTGGTAATTGCCAGTGTCCTCAGAAGCTACACTGTAGCCGTACTTGTATTGGTCGAAGATCTGACAGAGAAGAAGAAAGGTTTAAGAGAGAGAGTTCGCCTCTAATACATTTGACTTTATTTCTATACGGCTAAGACAGGGGCTCCCAACCTAGGGGTCATGGAGCAGTAGGAAAATCATAACCGAATTATTTTGGATTTTGTCTCACTTGCAGTATCTACAGATAATTATCTCTCACATATCAATAGCTTGGAATCTTTCGATGAAGTGTTCCTGTCGTATAACTGTTGGTGCCATTCTGATGGTAATAATTGAATCTTAAAAGCTGAACAGGGCCTCGAAATTCATTACATATTGGTTGGGGTCCATAGAATAGAAAAGGTTGAGAACCACTGGTCTAGGATATGAATTGAAAAT